AAGTAATGGTAATCTTGTTGATAATTGGACAAGAGCGAGAACCAGCAATGAGCTTGCCACCACTGTTCACCTTGATGTAATCCAAATCTACGTTCAAAGTGGTATCATTGAAAATCAAAGAACCTGGACTATTAATAACAATGGCAAACAATTTAACACCAGGTGATTTGTCAAATAGTGTTGGTTGAGTAATGGTCAGAGTTGCATTGTACTTGTTCCAATTAGCAAGGGAGGAAAAAAGAACAAGACCTCCTTGTTGGTGAGGACAAGATTGAGCCGAGCATGCATGAATCAAGAACAATGTGCACACGAAAACCAAAAACAAGTATGCCTTGTTGAGAAAATGAATCTCTATAGCCATCTCAGTTGTTGTTTTTCTTTTGATAATGTTCTTCTTTGAAAGCATGCTCTTAAACGACTGTTTCAACACACTGTTGGAAAGATAGAGTTCAGAGGTAATGTTCGCTCTTCAAATGTCAACAAGAAAAACTTGTTGTTATCAAGGAACCCAACGCAACTCTCAAGACAGAACTACAAGCAGAACACCACATCTCACGAGATTTCCTTGTGGAGATTATAATGTACTAGTAGTTCTCCTTCATGATCTTCCAAAGATAAGCCAAAGGTCTTCGCACATCATCACTCCGTTCGAATCATCATGTTATTGATTGGAAACATTTTTGTAAAATTTAATAGTTACTGTATTCCCGAGGACAAGTCCCAATAAATTAATTGATGTTTCTCTCGTTTGATATTTCAACTGTTCAAAATGTGAATTGTTATTTTCGGTGTCATCATGAGGCAATCCGTATTTCGTTCATTTTTCTTGCTGTAATTACAAAAAATGTCCAATCAAGAGTGGCACGGAGATCTCTCACAAAGAGTTACCCATCATCATTCCACAGTGCCGATCGTGATACATGAAACCGAGCCACAATACGAAACAACAAGTAATTCTAAAAACATCCTCTCCTCCACAGCTAAATCCATTGTAAAATCCTTTTCCATCATTCTTTTAATTATTTTCTTAATTTTCATAATTTATTATGTTGTTCCGGCTGGATTAGGATGGTTCACTCCTCCTGCTCAAGGAGGTCTTTGTAGAGCTTGTCATGATTCTCTACAGCATCCACTGAATGATGGCAAGAATTATTTATATTACACAAAAGTTTTCCGATCATCATGCTCTTGTGATTGTTGGGATGGAAGAGCAAAGGGACCTTACCCAAGAGGAAATTTTAAATATATTTATTATCAAGTAGAACCAACAACGTTGTGGCTAGTTTTTGTGTCCATTCTAATTCTCATTTCATTCTATCAAAGCATTTACAATGTGTTGAATTTAATTCAAGAAAGGAAGTGTAATTATTGGATATTACCAGTGTATTGCATTGGGTGGTATGGACTCTATTATTCATACGGAAGTCACTTTAATTATTTCAATGAGGATTCTCATCAATTGAGCTGGCATCAATTTTATTTCACATTTACCGAAATTGGAATGGTATTTGTGACTTATTTATTATTGAACAAAGATATCACTGAGGGTTCATTGTTCAGCAGAGCAAATCAATTATCACGGTCCATGCATGAGGAAAATGTTGGAGATGACAAGACAATGAACATCATGACATGCACCAGTAAGCCATTTTCCTTCATGTTGTGGTGTGTTCTCTCCACTGCCTTGACACATACCGTTCAAATTGCACTCGACCAAGGCCTGTCTAAATGGGGTGAAGGAATTTTCCTGAGAGATATGTTATTATTTCTTTCTGATTTTCCTTACATGATCATGTCAAGTTATTATCTAGGATTGCATCACGTAATTTTGTATTATTTCAAATGGATCACAGCAAGACATAGTGGAACTAGTAATACTGAAAAATTGAAAGATTTTGTCAAGACTCAAACAAGAAATTTAGGATTTTGTGGAATTTCTGTTGCATTGATGGTGATGTTCCTGTCAAATGTGACTTTTGGTGGATAAACAGTACTTGGCTGCGTTCCATGTAACTCGGAAATTTATCTCTGTCTCGAATTTCAAAGGTTCAGCGTATCAAATTTCCTCTTTTGTACACATTTCACACTCATCAGCATGTCACGTCACCACAAAGTTATCGCTCAAAAAAATTGAAACAAACTCATTTGCCACGATCCAAGTCTCCAAATCCAACCGGCAACGATCATGAACTGCACAAATGTCAACTCTTCTAGGATCAAGACTCGATCAACGACAACTCTCCTAGCTTTATTAATTGTCTTCCTGTTGACCACTTGTATTTTAAACCAAACACTCTCGACCAATGCTTTTCCAACGCAAACCACCATTCCGATCATTCAAGATATCTCTTCCTACAACACCACAGCAACCATCACTGAAAATATGATCATGGCCATTGATGCAGGAGTTAGCGAGATGGTTCAAACGGCTGCATGGAGAAAACTCTTCTCTGATTTGAATCTTCCCTTTAATATTCCTCAATGTGTGAAAAATCCCACTACTAGTTATCCATTATCCAATCCATTTGTTGGAATGGATACATTGAATGTTTGTTACGAAATACCTACAGATCCATGGCTAGAAATTTACAAGCAAGGAGGTGATCTATTAATTCCCATTCTGAACACCAAGTATGGAATTACGTTAAAAACCAAACATTACTTTTTGAATACCACCAAATTGGGCTATTTCGAAACCATGAAAAAAGGAGTCGATTCTGGCTTTTGTCACATCATTACCAGTGCTGCCATTAATACTCAAGAACGAGCAGAAAAGGTTTATTTCAACTGTCCAAGTGGATCATCCTCGCTTGCTTTCTTAAGATCTGAACTCGATAACACCAACTCGACCGAATATTTTAATAACGTGAAAACACTCAATGACTCGAGAGCGATCATTGCTGTTTTTGGTGGAGCTTACTTTGAGTCACAAGCGAAGAGTTTTTTCTCGGCAGCTCGACTCATTGTTGTGAATGGAGGATTTGCTGATATTTGGCCATATATTTTAACAAAGCAAGCTCATGCAATGATTGGAGATGCAGTAGATGTGTCTAGTTGGTTGAATAGTAATAAGAATCAATGTCAACGGTGTTTTGTATCCATCATGGGAAGTCCCTATGATTTTTCGAGTTTTACAACGAGAAATTATGTGAAAAATTCAGGAATGGTTAAGAATGTATGGAACGATATACCATGGATAGCTCTTGTGGTTGTGCTAAATCTGCTCATCACAAGCTTGATTGTATTGTAAAAGTTGGTACTTGATATAAAGTATCCATTCAATAACATTTGACTTTCAACATGAGCATCATTTCTGTAAAGCATTAGAAGCGGACGAATTTTTTCTTTCCGCCTTTTCTTGTCGCTTCTTTTCTTTAGCCATTTGTTTTTCAAGCTTCTTCTTTTCCTTTCTTTCCTTTTTTGACAATTGAAAATCTTGCATGACCGTAGACATATTACTACTACTCATATTTCTGAAACTTGCAACGAGAGGAGTATTTGCTGCAGGAAGTAATGAAAGTTGTCTTGTTTTCGATTTCTGAATCCATGGTTGTGCTGAATCGTTATGGCTAATCGATTGACTGGTTCGGACATACCAATCCACACATAGGGCATGATGATTTTCAATTTCATAATTTACAAATTCATTGGGAAGAGGATCCTCTTCAACAGGGTGGTTGGCCATCGACAACATGGTGGAATTTCGTTTGGAGGGGCTATTTTCTAAATTAGGTAAAGAGATGGATTTTTCAATGCAAGTTTCACCGGTTTGTTTCTTCTCAATCGCAACTCCCATCATGTAGGTCATTCTTTCATTTCTCTTTTTCAAAATTTCATGAAGTTTTTCAATTCGTTCCTCAAGTGACAAGTGGACATCCATATAAAATCCCATCAAACATTCTAAATATTCACAATCTACATCTTCCAATTGACTTCCTTTCCAAAATGCCATTCTTGCCTTCTCAATTTTTTCAAAATATCTATAATGATTGGCAATCAACCACCAAGCTTTACCTTCCAATGTGACACCTTCCTTTTCTGCAATGACACACAATGCATCTAAAAATCCAGAATCACATTCACTGCATTTCACACAACCAACCAGATCCAAAGATTCATAAAGAGTATCACTTTGGTGAATGAGCCATGTGAGAACTTGTCCAGAAATTTTACAATCTCTCATGATCAATCGTTTGATAAGAGGTCTTGTTTTTGAAACAACGACTGATGAATGATTGGAAGTATACTTCACAAATAATTGTTCCTTCTTTTTGAGAGATGGATGTTTTTTCTTGTGTTTGGAAGGAGCTTCTCCAGTTTTCAAGTGTAATAATTGTTCTAAAATTTCAATGGTAATTTCTTGTCCACTTAGATTCATTTTGTAAAGATTCTCAAATGAAATTTGATTTTTCAAATAATGAACAACTTCCCAAGTAGCTATTGGAGTGAGTCCCTTATCGCTTAAATCAATTCGGATGTGACCATCTTTTCGAAGTTTTGGACTCTCCAATTGCTGTTCAATTTCTTCAACAAGTCGAAAACAAGTATAATATCCCTTCGATGCATAAAAATCAATAATGGTATCTCGAATGGTTTTGTAAGCATGATCATCATTGGTTCTCAAACTCGTTCCAATAATTTTCAGACTCTTCAAAAAATCTTCAGATGTGACATCCAAGTAACATTGATCTAACTTGACATCAATTCTCCAATATCTGTCATTGGGTGACAATTCAACCATTTGTTGCATTAATGATTCTGTCAAGTTAGAAGCACCTGTAATCATGAGAGAACTGATCGTTTTTGCCCATTCTAACTTTCCTTCTAAAACAGGTCGTTCAATATTCTCATAACCACATCCCAATGAAATGACATAAATATTGTCACCAGGATAGAGTTTTTTCGCTTTCAAATAAGCAAGCATGGTTGGATTATTGGCCGTGACAGCTCCATCAATATAATCATGCTTGTCACTTGGATCAGTAATGGATTCAATGGTTCGAATTGGGAAAAACGTTGGAGCAGCAGATGTTGCCAATGCAATATCTCGTAAATAATAATCAGAAGGTAATTGTCTTTGTGTTAATTCTCCTTGAGGTTTTGCTTTTTCACTGTCAAACACAACGAGTTCTTGTCTATTCAAATCAAAACTTGTGACGAGAACAGGAATGACAAGATCACTCAATTTGTAACTACCAAAATATTGTGTCAAGACACTTTCCAATCCACTGGGGTCATATCTTGAAGATGTTAAAAATTCTCTCAATTTGTTGTGTTTGTTTTCTTTTGAGAAAATGAGAGAACCATTATTTGTGTACTACATGTCAAATTTCATTGTAAACAATGAGCGTAAAAAATCAGTAGATTGTACATTGTATGACAATTCTTGAAAACTTACCAAATCTCCCAAATCACTTGCATTATATTTAAAATTAAATCTCGAATTTGTAGGTGAAATTCCAGATCCCAATGCAATAATTCCTCCTGTACTTGTTCCTGCAATTAAATCAAAACAAGAAGTTAATGCAAAATTATGAACAGGAGGTTTTTCACCTAATTGATCGAAATGTTTGACAATTTCTTGAATGATTTCCTTTTCGAGAGAAGCCAAGATGGAACCTGGAATGATTCCACGAATACCACCACCATCGATGGATAGGACGAAACGAGTTTTGTTGTTGTTGTTTTTATAATTACTGTAATCGTCAGTAGTGGTTGTTGTTGCTGTCATCATCATCGTTTTGGATAAAGATCTTTTTGCTACATCGTGCTCGGAAGGAGGAGGTTGATTCCATATTTCATCGGAATGAGTGAAATCATTCAAAGTCTGATCATCATCTTCATCATCGGAAGAAGTGTAGGATTGACTTTTCAAGTACTCATCACGTTTCAAGGACTCTTGATATTGATCCATCAAAATGGATGATCCTGGACTTGTTGCTGTGGATGAACCGACAGTCATGGATGGAACAGTTGGAAGAGGTTTTGACATTTTTATAAACTAGTTTTTCATCTCGAGCGAATATTCTTTGAATCAAAATTCCCTTTCCAATTCTCCTTAAATTTGAATCTTCTTGAACTTGCATTCGTGATGATCCTTTGACATTTTGTAACCTTGCAACCACAGTTCCATCTCCCATCCAAACAAAAAAAAATGTTGCGACGATTAAAATCCGAATCATCCACGTCTGGTCCAGGTTATCAATTGATGGATTTTCCTGAACTAGAAAAAGTGAGGAGTCTTCATAAAACCTATACCAAAGATGTTACTCAAGAACAATTGGATTTGATGGATGGAGTGTTGGTCTTGTTGGTACGAGTTCTTGTTCAGGATGGAGAGGCTATTGTTGCTGAATCAACAGTGTCGGAATCATCATCCGATGATGCATCATCCAATAATCATACTAGTTCTGTTGTTCGGGTAGCAAAGGCGTTGAAAGCAACAAGAGAAATTCCTCAAGTTGTGAAACAAGAGAAGAATACATTGAAATCAATGAGTGCTGAGGAGTTTAATGAGCTGAGAAGAAAATTATTGGATGATTTTGCAATTTATAGATATTTGAGAGGTCATGCTTGGGCATTGGATGAAAGTACTCGATTGATTATTAAAATGTTGAATTGGAGACATGAATACAAACCTGAAAATGTTAGATTTGAGGAGTTTTTGGACACAACAGCCAAATCAAAAATGTTTATTGACACTGGTTATGCCTCCGATAATGGAATGCCACTATTTTACATGTGGGTTTCAAGAGATTTACTTGACAACTCTGATGAGAACAAGAGTCTAAAATTCCGTCATTTAATTTATGTACATGAGAGAAATTTCATTCGTGAAGGTCGTTTCAAAGATGACAATTTTCAAATGAATTGGGTCGTGGATGTTTCTGGTATTTCTTTGAATTTAGTGAGACGAATGGTAAGTGGACAATTTATGAGTCACATGTTCTGGATAATTGTGAAACATTGTAAATGTGACCATCCAAATCGTGATGTGGTATTATTGAATCACTTCTCATAGAAAGATATTTTTGACGACATTGGATTTTACTATCCAGAACGCTTAGGTCGAGTGTTTGTCATTAACGCACCATGGACAATTAATTTGATTTGGGCCTTCTTGTCACCCTTCCTATCCGAAGAATTAAAGGCCAAATACATGATGATCAAGATGGACGAACTTAAAAACAAGATTGACCCAGATAGTTTACCCACTGAGTTTGGTGGTAATTTACAAATTGATTGGGATGCTTATTATTCCAAACTCATGAAGGAAGACAAGGAACGAGTTGGAGAGCAGAAATAAGCTGGAAGCTCCCCATTCAAACCATGACACAGCATAGTTATAGAAATAAACTAATGTGACGCAAGTGATCACTTGATATTACGAAACAATTTATTTGTTAATTTTGTGTGTGTCGTTAAAGTCCAAATGCACAAAGCATCTCTCAACTTCAGGAACTGACTCGATTTTCAATTGTAAATCCTCGCCAATGTTATGTGCTTCGCGTAGCGACATGTCAGGTGGTAGCACAACATGGACTTCAGCAATAATATTCATACCGCTGTACCAAGCTGTCACAGTTTCCACCTTCATAATCTTCTCACTGTGATTGACAGCAATGAACGTAATTTTCTTAATAAATTCTGACTCGGCAGTTAATCCCACTAGCTTGGTCACATGTTCCAAAGATTCTCCAATCCATCCATAAATAATATAAATGGAGAGAATGGTGGCACCAAATGGGTCAAACCACCACACCCATTGTGAAATGAAGAGAGAAAATACAAGGAAGGTATTACTCAGGATATCATTTCGGTGATCGAATGCATAGGCTTGACATGAAGGTGATTCCTTAGCCCGTATGCACAAGAAATAGAGAATGGATTTGGCGAAAATGGCTATAATGAGAACAATTAAACCATAAATGTAAAATATCATTTTGAAGAGAGCAGGAATTTTCACACCCAACATCCATTCCATAGTTCCATTCAACAACTCTGGTTTGCTCAATAATTCGACCATATTTTCCG